CCGCATTGTTTTCATCAGTGATGGAGACATTCGAAGCTTTCCATTTCAATTGAGACGCAAGCAGTTTCCTGTCCAACCGGCCTTTGCTATGACGATTAACAAGGCGCAAGGACAAACGGTGCAGTACTTGGGGCTGTATCTTGCTACGCCCTTGCTTCTCCCACGGGCAGCTGTACGTTGCGATGTCGCGAGTTACTTCAAGATCAAGATTCAAGGCGCTGGTCGAGGACCCAAGGCTGGAGGAGGAGGATGGGGTCTATGCCCAGAACATTGTCTACAGGCAGATCTTTGGTTGAGAGTAGGAATGTTCAATTTCATATGCATTTAATACATCACGTTTACATAAATCATGTTTACGCCGGAGCGTAGCGAAGGCGGGAACCCATTTCTCCTTGGACTAAAACCTGCCACCTCCGCCGCGTAGCGGCGGCGAACGGCTAGTCTTACCCCCCCTAGTGGAGTCTGACGTGTGTCTGTTCGTACGTCCGTCCGTAACGGGCTAGGGTTCTAAAATGTAACGCTAATACGCGCGTTCTACTGGCTGCCGAGCGCAGCGAAGGCGGCCTCGATTCGCTCAAGAGCTGTCGAGCGCAGCGAAGGCATTGGCTAAAATCGATATTGTTTTTTTTACACACTTTATGTGGACTACACATCGTACTTAAATGCGCCGCTTAAGTTTCATTTTGCTCTCATTTTCAGCTGCGGTATGCAAGGCCACGCAAAGGGCGCTGCCTGTGTACGCGTTAGTTAGCATACTTAAAAGGCGCCGATAAGCACACACGTACTATATCGCCGTAGGAGCTGCTGAAAAAAGTGTAGGCTTTGGTGACTTATATTTCGGCCTCAATCGAAACTTTAGTACTTATTGGATATAGAATGATGTTTTAGGCTTCGTAGTACTGCTGTACTAATTTAACTTACAATAATTTTTTTCTTAGTACTACTATCAAGGCATTTCATATTTTTGCTTGCGGTCATTTGTAGTAGTAGTACACATAATAATTATATCAGCGTTTAATAATAAATAACAGTTGTATTAATATAATTAATAATGTGAAAACTTTAAAATATGACTATTGTAGCTTACACCCCTGCACCCCACACTGCACCCGGTAAAAAGTACCATCTTCTTTTGTAGTAGTGTTATTGTGCAAACTTTCCAACATATTTATGTAGCGTACATAAAAATGGGAACAGCGTTTGTGATTAAGTTAGCGCGGAGGCACGTGACTAAGCAAGAACACGAAAACGAAGTAACACCGACCCACACTATGTACACGATGGGATAGAAGAGCAACATGAAGCACGGAAGGGTGGACGGTGACAGAAGACTTAGCTGATGCAAACCACAAAGTTGTATGGGTAGCGTGACAGGCGGAAGAGCACACAGCCATGAAAAGGACAGAAGGACAAGAATATGACGGGAGCGTACGGGCCACGGAAAGGAACTAATTATGTAGACACACCAGCATGCTAAAAAGGGAAGAGTACGCACGCTCGAAGCACGTAGCGGTAAGAGTGCCCTGACAGCAACTCTCCCATAGCACCACGGTAGAACACGGAGCACAGTCGCCCAACCAAGCATGAAGCCGCGGTATACCATGAACGAAAGATCATCCTAGCATTGGAGAATGATATTAAGGTAGAATTGGAGCTCACCGAGTCCCGGAGTATGATACTACGGAAGCTAACAGCCTCACGGACGACAGACCAGCCGCGACACCACAAGCTAGCACGATAGCATGGGCTGTGCCACTAAGCCGTGGGCGAACGCAGCCGCAGAGCTATAGACGTAAAATCACCGTGCCGCGGAGAACGATACCAGTGTTGAACCTGAGCTTACCGAGCCACGGAGGACAGTACTACATTAGAACTAGATTGCACGAACGGCGGGTCAGCCACGAAATAAACGGGGAGGTGGGCGCTTGGGGTGACCACGACTGCACACTGTGGAGCACGTTGCCATTGTAGAACACGATAACACGGACAACGCAGATACACTACGTGAGCACAACACCATAAGCAGCATTACCACACCGTGATTGCACGATAGCGTGATACCGCAGTCGATGGAACCTCACCTGGAGAGCACGATACACGGGCGACGAAACAACACGACTGCATGAAGTCACCAAACTACGGAATAGCACACTTCGGCTAGAGCACCGGCGATGGGAGGTTAACGGCCACGAAATAGTATGTACCATGAAACCAGTGCAACCCATATAAACGTTTGAGAACAGAGAAAAGTTAGCATTTACGTAAAGGCCGTACTAAAGCGCATGAACCCACAAGAGAGAGGACATAACCGCTGAGCAGCGTGGGCCATGGGTGAGCAGGAACCACGAAGCCGGGAAGAGCACGAAAGAGCATGGGTCATTAAAGAAAACAACACCCAACCTGTAGTACGGGGTAACGGAAACGTTCCAAAACACGATATTATACGGGGCCGAATGAGACTACGGAAAGGCAAGTGGTTAAATACACGATGCCAAGATCTACGGGGTGAACCACGTTCTCAAAACACGCGACACTAAGAAGCACTTAAATTTGCAGCCACCTCATCTCCAACAAACCATGCCACTCCGCCGCGTAGCGGCGGCGAACGGCTAGTAAAGTATCAAGGCTAGCACGGTGTCTGTCCGTCCGTCACACGAAACGCTCAGGTTTTTGAGCTTTATCATTGGCTGCCGAGCGGAGCGAAGGCGGCTTCGATTGGTTAAAACTAAATTATGTACCTTACATCAGTAAATTCATGTGGTTCACAGAGCACATATGGAGATTTGCACAAGACTATCCATTATCCGATGGCGGCATCGTTTAAATACTACGAAGTTTTAATTTGTACTATTTTAATATGAGATGTTGCTATTAATATTTGAGTGCTTCTTATTCTCAAATGAAATAGCCCCCTAAAGACGTTTCCTATGCTGCAAGGTGCTTAGCGTACACGTAGGAATGCGTGTTTTCGAGGCCATACTATAATATACGTAATACTATATTCTTAATAGTTTCTGCAAGAAGCAATGACTAAAAGAATAACTACAACTGTTTTTGTTGTAGAAATATTAAGAATATTCTGAATGTGACTGAGCTGCCAAGCAGACGTACATGTACAACAGAAGCTGGTCGTAAGAGCAACGCTGTGCTAATAAACGTTGTCGCTTGAGCCACTAATATAGATAGGTTTAGATTGAGCAAAAAGAACTTATATGTGCTGATGACAATTACTACTGTAAGCGATATCCGAAGGCGGCATCGTTTTTATATTACGAAGTATTTACTTTTTTAATAATGCATGCTGCTTTAATATTTGAGTGCTAAACAGAGAGAGCTACTTATTCTCAAATGAAATAGCCCCTAAAGACGCTTCCTATGCTGCAAGGTGCTTAGCGTGCACGTATGAATGCGTGTTTTGGAGGCCATACTATAATATACGTATACTATGTACTTAATAGTTTATGCAATGTACTGTACAATGACTTTAATAGCTACAACTATTTTGTTGTAGATATATTATCTAATTATCTGAGAGTGAGGTAACTACTAAGCTGCCAAATCGTAGTACATGTACAACAGAAGAGCTGGCCGTAACAGCTGGCCGTAAGAACAACGCTGCTAATAAACGTTGTCACTTGATTCACAAAGATAGAAGGTTTTAGATTGAATAAAACAAGCTCATGTGTGATACTGCTGTAAGCCATTGTTTTCTAAGAATTGTGTAGACAGCAAAATCCGATACAACTTAGCTGGCGGACGTGTCACCGACATAGGCGAAGGATAAAGTTTTAAATGGATAGACAACAGCACAACATGAGAGCTGGTTCTTTAGACACCAGAACGAAACGTTAAACTTAGGGTATAGTTGATAGTTAAACCATTTTGGCATCTTAATTAACCTATCAAATAAAAAAAACGCTCGCAAGCGTCTTGCGACGCATTATCCTAATGTTTTAATCATAACTGACAGGTTCGACTGTCCAATGACTTTTGAATCAGCACAAAATGAAGGCTGCATGCATAAAAATATTACAATTCGAAAAATTTATAGCTTTCAGTGAGTTTTGTGAGAGAAGTTAGCAATTTTTAGTTACTTACAAGCTCAAATAGGCAGTACAAGAGAGTAAGAAGTGCAACCTGGATAGATCGTTACTGTCCTTTGGATTGATGCGGGCTAAGTTTCACAGCGCCTCAGAACGGCCCATGATATCGAGCACGACGCCAAGCTAAATATATTCAATATCGTTTGTAGACATGCTATTTGAAGTGCTGGTGATTCTTGTGTTGGGCACATACTCGCCGTTAATGCCAGCACGACACGGCAAGCATGTGCCCGAGTCAACACGGACTGTATGATGCTCTCTAGGTAAACCTATCAAACCTCATGAAAATAGCGATGACTGACGAATGTCACGCCAGTACTTATGTAGTAGCCAACAATAATAAAGAAACTGTGTCAAGATCACCAGAATGATCATT